AAAAAAAATATATTATACTAATTATAGACTATAGATTATAGACTAATTTGGGGGGGTGGTTATGAGAATTTGAGATTTATTAATGTTTAGACTTTTTAAAAGACATTTTAAAGTTTATTTCATAAATAGAATACTAAAAAAAAATCCCGTCATTGAGTCAGTTTTGACTCATAGTGACCTTATAGAACAGGGTATAATTGCCCCTGTAGATTCCTGAGACTATAACTCTTTGCAGGAAGAGAAAGCGTCAGATGGTTTCAAACTGCTGACCTTGGGATTAGAGGCCCAACACATAACCAGGGCTCCTTCTTAACAACACTAAGCAATTAAATAGCTTATTAATAAAACCATAAATATCGTAAGATTCAAATCAAATTAGATATAGAAAGTATCTAAAATTTGCTTCACTTTTTTCAAAATTTGCTATATAAAGCACTACTGAGTTTATACTGTAATAACTGCAAAATAAATATATACGTATATATGCAATATAAGTATGTATATACACTCAACACATAACATCAACAATTACCTGCTGTAGGAGGGACAATACCAGAAAAACGCACTGTTGCATGTTGTCCATTAACGTCAACTCTTCGACCAATGACATCTAATGTCAAAGTGTCACTCATTATAATATAGCCAGAATCCAAATTATGAATAGATCTAGGAAGAAAATTACAACATTGATAATTTAGTAAAAATGTGTTTAGAAGATTTGAAAAATAATTTAATATAGAGATTCAAGAAAACAATGCTTGTTATCAATTTTTATAGTTTAGTGAAGTGGAGAACTTAATGTTTATGTACCATAAAATACCATCTAACTCTATATGTGGGTAAGTAAAAACGTTTGTCATTGTTAGGTGCAATAGACTTGGTCTGGATTCATAGTGTCCCTATGTATGACAGAGCAAAACACTATGCCACTTCTACAACATCCTTAGAATTGTTTCTATGTTTTGGTCCATTTTTTGTAGTAGCATTTCAATCCTGCTAGTCAAGGCTCTTCCTCATTTTCACCGATTCTCTACTTTACTGAGCACGGTGTCTTTCTTTGGGGCCTTTCCTTCTTGACATGTCCAAAGCACAGGAGATAAAAGTCTTCTCAGTCTGTCTTCTGAAGAGGGATCTGGCTGTACTTATTCCAAGACCGATTTACCTGGCACTCCATGGTAAATTTGGGATTCTTTGAAAACACCTAACTGAAAGGCATCCATTTTTCTTTGGTCTTCCTTTTTCATTGTTCAGCTTTCACACACATATGAAGTGGTTGAAAATACCATGGCATGAGTCAGGTCCACTTTAATCAGCAAAGTGGCATCTCTGTTTTTAGCATATTAAAGAGAGAGCATTTTGTAGAGCATTTTTCCAATGCAATATACCAGAAGAAACCAGCTCCTAGCACAATCACTACGGGTTCGGTAGGCGCAATTGTACAGCAATAAGTAAATATTATAGTAAAGCTATAGAGAGCATGAGAGATAAATGAGATATATAGAAAAAAATGGAGTCAGACACATTTTATAGTAGCATTGCTCACCTCAGCCCCGCTTGGTGGTTCACGTGGAGAGAGAGAGAACTTTAATGCTCCCCAAGTTTTTATACTCTCTGGGGACGTTGGGGACGTGCAAGCCCCCACATTACAGGTGAAGACATACGTCACAGGAAAAGGTTTGTGCTACAGGCATTACAGTGATGGGAGGGGGTGATCTAGGGACATACACGCTATAGGAAGAGGAGGGACAGCTGGTTTGGCCTGTCCCTGGCCCAACTGATAGAGACCATTATCAGTAGGATGCGAACTCTGCCCACAGGAGCCTGTCCATTGTCCCCAGAGGCAGGGAGCAGGCTCACCCAGGTGGTGGGATGAGACAGCAGTCTGGCAACTGATTGCCTTCAGGGGAGGGAATGCCTGCGCATCTGACCTCCCCCTACAGCAATATATCACTTGATTTCTTCACTGCCGCTTCCATGGATGTTACTTTTAGATCAAACCAAAATGAAATCCTTAACAAAAAGCATTGCTATAAAATCCAGGAAATCACAAATAAATTATAAATTATCAGAGCTTGTGAAGGAGGGGGGAGGGGGGGCAGGGAGGGAGGGGGAAAAAATGAGGAGCTGAAACCAAGGGCTCAAGTAGAAAATAAATGTTTTGAGAATGATGATGGCAACAAATGTACAAATGCACTTGACACAATGGACATATGCATGGATTGTGATAAGAGTTGTATGATAAGATTGTGATAAGATAATAAAATGATTTTTTAAAATCCAGAAACCAAAATACAAAGCAAAAATATCAAAATGTGAAACTTTTGTTTCCCAACATATTCTCAAAAAACAAAACAAAACTGACTCAATGTCATCAAGTCTATTCTGATTTGCAGCAACCCTATAGGTCAGGGCAGAGCAGCCCTTAATAAAAAGCCTTATCTTTCTGGTGGTTTTGAACTGGTGAGCTATAAACATATGAAGAAATGTTCTAGATCATTATCTATTTGCAAATCAAAACAATAGTAAGTTATGATCTCAACCAGCATTAATAATAAAGTTCAAAAAACAGAAAATAAATGCTGGAGAGGGTTCTGAGAGACTGGAACCCTTATACAACTCCTAGTGGGACTGTAAAATGGTGCAGCTACTGTGGAAAATGATATGACACTTTTTTAAAAGTTGAGAATAGAAATACGGTATGATCAAGCGATCCCAATACTTGGTACATATCCTAGAGGAGTAATGCCATAAGACAAATAGATGTATATTCATGCATACATATTAATCACACCACTATTCACAAAAGTAAAAGGAAACAATCAGCAGTGGAAGAATGCATAAATAAACTTTGTTACACACACACAACGGGATACATTGTTGGTTAGAGACTAACAATGAATCTATAAAACACTTCCTGTCACAGATGCACTTGAGGATATTATGCTGAGCGAAAAGAGTCAATCACAAGAAACAAATATTGTATGAGATCACTATTTTAACAAGAAATGATTTTCACACTAAAGGAAGCACACATTTTTCCTACTTCCTAAAGAAATGGAGTACTTTAGAACGAATACTTCCTATTTCCAAGAAATAAAGGAATGGGTCAGGGCCTGAGCTATCATATATTTTTCTCAGGAATAAAATATGAGAAGGCATATATTTTAGTAATTAAGTGGTAACCTCCAGGTATTCAGACTGGAAGGAGGTCAATGCTTAATAGCTACATCAAGGAATTCAAGAAAATGTAGATGATTCCCCTAAAAAGTGGGGAAGACACCATGATAAACTGTCTAAGTAGGTGTTTCTCAAGAACCCAAAGGCTACATATACGAAGTCAGGTCAAAGAAAGCTCAAGTCAAGAGTAGGGTTCTAAGCTTTGAAAAGGGATACCAACAAGAGCAAAAGTTAAAAACAAAACAAATCTCACTGCCACTGAGCCAATTCCAACCAACAGCAAGCCTGAAAGACAAAACAAAACTGCCTCCATGGGTTCCGAAGGCTGTACATCTTGACAGCAACAAAACGCTTCATCTTTCTCCCTTAGAGCAGCTGGTGGTTTCAAACTCCTGACGTTGAGGTTGCCAGCCCAATGTGTCACCCACTATGCTACCAGGCCTCCTTAAAAGCATCTTAGGACCTCAGGAGTATTAAAAAGTAAGGGAGGGGTATACTCTTATCAGTGGTCTATGGACCCTGAAGATATCCTGTACACGAAGAATCTAATTTCTCATTGAAATTTAGCATTTCTTTAGATTATGAACATAACCCACACTGAGTGGGTTCTGACTACTATGAACCCTCTAGGACAGAATAATATTGTTCCTTTGAATTTCTGAGACTGCTAATCTTTACAAAAGCAGATGGTCTCATCTTTTTCCCCACAACTAATGGGTTTGAAACACTGACCTTCAGGTTAGTAGTCCAATGCTTAACTCACAGTGCCGTCCAATGCTTAACCCACAGCGCCAACAGGGCTCCCAAATTATGAACCTAAGAGGAAAAATCCCATTTGCATCAGCAGCATCTGTGACATTTGACACCATTCCAAAAAACCTAACTCACTCTCATCAAGTTGATTCCAACTCACAGTGATCCTATAGAGCAGAAGAACTGCCCCTTTGGGTCTCTGAAGCTGTGAATCTTTAAAGGTGTAGACAACTTCATCTTTCTCCAAAGGAATGAATGGTAGATTCACAGAGCTAACCTAAGCAGCTTAACGTGTATCCCACTATATCACAAGGGTTACGTCTTGAAATTAAAAAGCACAAATCATTTTATATTACAACTGTTGTAGTTATCTCAAAATACATTTTACATTGATCACTACTTCAAATGACTGCTACAGCTGCCACTAGAACATATTGTGTTAGTAAACATAATTATTTTAATCATTTTATTGGGGGCTCGTACAACTTTTATCACAATCCATACATGCATCCATGTGTCAAAGCACATTTGTTGCCATCATCATTCTCAAAACATTTGCTTTCTACTTGAGCCCTTGATGTCTGCTCCTCATTTTCCCCCTCCCTCCCACTGCCCCCATATTATAATTTAAAAAAATATTTTGATAACATATTGCACATAGCTGGTTTCCTTTGAAATGCTATGCATTTTATTTTCTGTATTTAGGTAATACTATGAAGGAATTCACAGGCTTCACACAATTACAGACAATTATCCTAGTAAAAAAATCAATTGTGGAAATTGGAAGGCAAAAGAAGAATTTTGTGGTAAGTCTCCAGCATTAACAACAAAACAAAAAATTGAAACTAAATTTACAAAGTGCTTTATTTTCTTTAGCTTAATTGCATATTATATTAAAACTTTAATAAATTCTAGTTATTTTTTGAGTGGAAAAAACTTAAATGTAGGAAAAGGTGCCCCAATAAAGAACAGGAATTCCAGTTATACTGTTAAAATGGTTCTTACTTATAATAAGCAAATAGTGCATATACAGTAAGTATTTATTCAATAAATATATCAGTATTTTTAAAAATCATTTTATTGGGGGCTCGTACAACTCTTATCACAATCCATACATACATCCACTGTGTCAAGCACATTTGTACATTTGTTGCCCTCATCATTTTCAAAACATTTGCTTTCTGCTTGAGCCCTTGGTATCAGCTTATATCTGGATTTTTGTTTACTCATTTTCAACTGCTCTCTCACTATCACCTGAGACTAAAATGTATGGACCAGATAGGAAGACTACCTGTTACTGTTTTTTTTTCTACCCAACAGTTTCACTTTTGGAAAATGTACCTTTCCTGCCTGGTAGGGCTATAACTCCTCACCATGAGTAGAGACATATGGATAGGGATGATCAATTTGATCACTCATCAGATCATCACTTCTTTATATACAGCAATTGAGCTTGGTGTAGAGATCAAACCCCAAAAGAGTCAAGTTTTTAAGTAAATGGCACAAACCCTTCAAGAGAGTTTCAATCTTTTTTGAGATCTTAAAATGAGAGGAACCTTTGCCACCACATGGGGAAAATGATCTTGCCTGGAAATAAGGATAAAAGGAAGAGGAGCTGAGACAGAAAAAGAGACATTCCTAGTGAGGCCATTTCAACTCGAGATCCAGGTATAGTTACAGCCCTTGATACCCCAACTACTGAAATTCCTCCTTTTGTACACACCAGTTTGAGCTGTGTCTTTCTCCTGCAATGAAAGAATCCTGAAAGATATCAAATTATTTAGGAAACATTTGCCCCATTTACTGTTATGTGGACATTATATTGATAAATGATAAGAGGCCATACTACATAGTGAATGAGAACAGGGTGTGCAGCTGGTCTGCTAAACCAAAAGCCCACCTCTATCACTACAAAGTAACTGTGAGACATTCGATAAGTGATTCTGTGTCTCAGTTTCCTCGCCTGTAAATGTAGTACTATGAGCACCTATTCATAGAGTTTTTGTGGAACCAATGCAATCATGGTCAATGGAACAAAACTAGACAGATACAAATTTGTAAATTGTGAGTGTGCCAAAATAGGGAAAAGTAGTGAACAAAGCCCTGAAACAGGAGATTTGGAAGAGGCATAGTGAGCCCTTTCAGGAACCTGATGCAGAATTTTGGGTTATTGCCAGAAATCTGGAGCAACACACATTCAGAGACATAGTCAGCCACTATTTTTGAGGGTGGAGATGGATGCTTCCAACACTCCTGGCTAAGAGATTTGGTAGCTATGCAACATGCATGCTGCCATTGTTCTAGGAGGGAGATCAAGTTTCCATTCAAAATCTTTATCAGAAAAAAAAATAATTTAAAAAAAATGTAATCATAGTCAATTCAAAAGTTTTCCCATTCCAGTTATCATGTCAGTACGCCCACATTTACAAATTTGGGTCTATTCTGGTTTTGAGTTGTTGGCCACAACTGAACCAGGAATTAACTGGTTGAAAACCCTGGTAACTACATAGTGAATAGTCAATAAATGCAGCCATTAGGATTATAAATTAGATTCTATATTTAGATAGAGGAAAGTAATCCACAAAAAACGGTTACACGTTTAGCTGATATGAGAAGCTTAATCACAGTAACCCTACTGCTTATAGTAGATAGGGGCTCCAGGATTATTTACATTTCCATATATATATATTTTATAGATATCAAAGTTTATTAGTGATTACTAGGGTCAGTATAGAGAAAGTCGGAGGTGGAGGGTAGGGGTTATGGAAAAACTACATTCATTATGGAATGATACACTTACAAAGAGATACTTGTAATTGCTGACAATAAGGATTAAACCTGTACATAATTTAACAGGCAAAAGTTATGTGATATAGAGGGGGGTTCAAATATTTGTGGGATACTTTCATTATTTTAAAATTTATTTGCAGTCATCACTGGGGCTATTTCTTACTGCCAATTTGTTTGCTGGCCTGCTCTTCCACCTGCCTGGTCAGGCACAGGGCATTTATGACACCTTGCAGGACTGAGAAGCGCTTGGTAAGCTCAGCAAGGGCAGATTCTACTTTGTGGACAATGGTCTCCAGGTCATAGTCAGTCTGTTTGGTCAGCTCAGAGAGCTCAAGCCAGGTTGGCCATTGCTTTGAGCTGAAGAGGTTCAGAGTTTCCAGGAGAAGGCACCGCTGGGCGCGCCAACTACACACTGCTCGGGCTGCAGGTGCTTCTCTCTCATTTCCTTATATTTTACCCAAGATATACCAAAAGATCTTGTTATTCACAATGTAAGAGGTATAACCACTGGAATTTCATTAACGAATTATAAAATACATATTTTTCAATATAGATTTTCAAAGTTATTTTTCTGTTTTCTTTATTTGTTCAAACTGTATCAAAATAATTCATATGAAGTCTAAAGTAAATTCATTCATAAAATTTAATTGTTCACACCACTTATATAGAAATAACAACATCCATGGGACACAGATTTAAGTGAGAATTTGCTCAGGCCTTAGACACCTTAACCTTTCTGCCATGGTGAAGAGAATAAGATAAAAGAACATAGGCATACATGGAACTTACATTGTCATAGAGATAACAAATAGTAAAATATTAAGACCTTAAAACGTATGTATGCAAGCATCAAGTTCAATGATGGAAAAAACCTACATGAATTGAGAGAAGGGGCGAGAGGAAAGGGTTAACAGAGCAGCAGTTAAAAATAAGAGGGGAATTTCATGCAGAAACCATGCCTTCATGAGGCTGGTAGGGATGGGCAACTTATAAATAAGCAGAGTACAAGAAAAAGAGCTTTTCAAATCATATCAGATGAGGCCCTCAAATTGGAAGACACGCAAAATATGACCCGGGGGTGGAGGGGGCTGCCTTCTCAAAATACAGTTGACCATGATATAGCTTTCAAAACAAAGCTTTCAAGGTCTTCATTATAAATGAACGAAATGGCTACAAACATTCATTAATAGTATGAATGTGGAATATAGGAGGTGTGAATCTAGGAAAATCAGAAGTTGTTAAAAATGAAATAGAATGCCTAAACACCAACATTCTAGGCTTCAGTGAGCTGAAATGGGCTGGTATTAGCCATTTTGAATCAGGCTCATTTGGTTTACTATGCCTGGAATGACACAATCAAGAGAATGGCAATGCCTTCATCATCAAAAAGGACATTTCAAGATCTATCTTGAAGTACAATGCTGTCTGTGATAAGATAATGTCTATCTGCATTCAAGGAAATGCTACTAATATTCAAGTTTACATACCAACCACTAACCCTAGTGATGAAGAATTCTATGTCTTTGTGTGAAGCCATGGTGGTGTAATGGTTACATGTAGGCCTGCTAACCACAAGGTCAGCAGTTGGAAACACCAGCAGCTCCTTGTGAAAAATATGCAGTTTTCTACTGCCATAAAGAGTTACAGTCTAAGAAACCCACAGGGACAGTTCTATCCTGTGCTATAGGGTCACTATGAGTCAAAATCGACTCAATGGCAGTGTTTGGTTTGGTAGTAAGGTCTTCAGTCTGAAATTGATCAAACATGCAATTGATATATATTGATAATTATTGGCAATTGAAAAAATTGGATACAAAGAGGAAGAAACAGGAGTTGGAAACTATAGCCTTTGTAAGAGAAATGAAGAGTTTTCTAAGACCAATATCCGTTTTCAACTATACATGTGGACTTCTCCAGATAGAATATACAGAAATCAAATTAACAACATCTGTGGGAAGAGACCATGAAGAAACTCACTATCATCAGTCAAAACAAGGCCAGCGGCTGACTGTGGAACAGACCACAAATTACTCATATGTAAGATCAGTTGGAAGGCAAAGAAAATTAAAACAAGTCTACGAGAGCCAAAAAATGACCGTAAGTATATCCCACTTGAATTTCAAGAACTCAAGAATGGATTTGAATCATTGAATAGTAGTGACTGAAAATCTATAAACTGTAGGATGACATCAAGAACATTATGCATCCAGAAAACAAAAGGCCATTAAAAAGATAAAGATAAAAAGGATCAAAGCATATGTGAGAAGAGACAGAAATATGCTCTTGAACACAGCTAAACACATGGAAATTATAAAAAAAGCTCAACAGAAAATTTTCAAGAGTAGCCTGAGAAGATAAAAGTGTCAAAATGCAATGTGCAAAGGCCTGAAGTTAGAAACTGTGTAAGGACATGCTTAGATTATCTTTGGCTGAAAGAACTGAACAAAAATTTTGAATTTCAATATTAAAGAATTCTATGGGCAAACTATTGAATGGTGCTGAAAGCATCAAAAGATGGAATACATGGAGTCACTACCAAAAAGAACTTACCAATATCCAACCATATCAAAAGCAAGAAACAGTGGTACTGAAAGAAATTCAAGCTCCATTGTAGGCATTAGCCAAAAACAAGACTCCAGGAATTGACAGATATCAATGGAAATGTTTCAACAAACTGAAGACTTACAGTACTCAGATATCTATTCAAAGAAATTTGGAAGATAATTACTTGGCCAACCCACAGGAAGAGATACATATTTGTACCCATTCCAAAGAAAGACGAACCAACAGAATGTGGAAATTACTGAACAATTATCACTAAAATGTTACAAGTCAAGTTTTGCTGAAAATCATGCAACAGTGATGCAGTACATGGATAGGGAGCTGCCAAAAATTCAAGCCAGATTCAGAAGAGGACATGGAACAAAGGTTATCATTGCTAATTCATATGGATCTTGGATCAAAGCAGATAATATCAGAATGATGTTTGTCTTTTATTTGACTATGCAGACATTCAACATATGGACTGTAATAAACCATGGATACCTTGAGAAAAATGGGAATTCTAGAACACATCATTTGATATGGATAATAAGCTATGGGTAATAAGTTATGTGTATCAATGAGAGGGATGGGAATGCCAAAACAATTAACTGTGCATAAGAATCTGTAAGTGAATCAAGAAGCAGTCTTAAGAGAATACTGCATAGTTGAAAATTAAGAATAGAGACGCGCGCGCCGTGCGGAGAGAGCCAGAGGGACGCGCGGAGGCCACAAGGAGGGCGCGCGGCGCGGCGCAGCAGCAGCAGCCAGCACTGGGCTCCGAGCGGACCCCGCGCCCGCGCCACCGAGCCAGCTCCGCGCTTCGGGGACCTACCGATTCTGAAATGCAGTCCCAGCAGTACCAGCAGCACCGCCGAAAATTGGCAGCGGCCTTGCTGGCCTTCATTTTCCTCTAGGCCGTGGTGGACAATGCGGAAGCCGGGAAGAAAGAAAAGCCAGAGAAAAAAGTGAAGAAGTCCGACTGTGGGGAGTGGCAGTGGAGTGTGTGGTGGGGGACTGCAGGCTCGGCACCCGGACCGGAGCCGAGTGCAAGCAAACCATGAAGACCCAGCGATGTAAGATCCCTTGCAACTGGAAGAAGCAGTTCGGAGCGGAGTGCAAGTACCATTTCCAAGCCTGGGCAGAATGTGACCTGAACACCGCCCTGAAGACCAGAACAGGCAGCCTGAAGCGAGCCCTGCACAACGCCGACTGCCAGAAGACCAGCACCATCTCCAAGCCCAGCGGCAACCTGACCAAGCCCAAAGCTCAGGAATCTAAGAAGAAAAAGGAAGGCAAGAAACAAGAGAAGATACTGGATCACCAACGCCCTTAGAACAAGAAAATGACATCAGCAAACAGGATCATTTAACTATTGCATTTATATCTACTATAGGCTTTTTCCTCCAGGATTATCTATAGCTTAAGTACATAATAGACAAAAGCAAAAAGAACCTATCTTTTTTTTTTTTTTTTGTCGTAGCATTTTAAGAAATGTATCCATAGTACCATTAGGGTCTTATAAAAGGGACAGTAGTCCTGTTTAGAAAGTTGACCTATAGTACATGATAAATGATATAATATTGAGGTAAGTTTCTTTAAAATTATGTGATATTTTACATTTAAAACCTTTTTACCCCCCTTTTCTTTTGGCAACAATTTAAATGTTATGACCATGTAAACTACTTTTGTTAGGTCATTTTTTTCATTTCGAATTTTTTTTTCCCAATTGCAAAAAAAAGTCTGTACTAAACAAAGCAGCAATAAAATATAATCATCCTATCTGAATAAAAAGAAAGAAAATCAAGAATAATGTGTTAGGGTTGCACCCTATTACCTTACTTATTACTCAATCTATATGCTGAGCAAATAATCCGAGAAGCTGGGCTATATGAGGAAAAATGCAACATTAGGAATGGAGGGAAGCTTATCAACAATTTGTGACATGCAGATGACAGTATCTGGCTTGTACTGAGGACTTGAACCACTTGCTGATGAAGATCAAAGACTGCAGCCTTTAATATGGATTACAACTCAATGTAAAGGAAGCCAAAATCCTCACAAGTGGGCCAAAACAGAGAAGATTGAAGATGCCAAGGATTTCATCTTGCTTGGATCCACAATCAATGTGCGTGAAAGCAGTAGTTAAGAGATGAAAGGGCACATTACATTGAATGAATATGCACAAAACCTCTTTAAAGTGTTGAAGACCTCTTTAAAGTGTTGAAGAGCGAGGATGTCATTTTGAAGGCTAAAATGGACCTGATCAAAGCTAGAGTATCTTCAATTGCCTTATATGAATGTGAAAGTTGGACACTGAGTAAGGAAGACCAAAGAAAAACCGATGCATTTGAATTATGGTGCTAGCAAATATTAAAAGTCCTATGGACTGCCATAAGAACAGACAGCTCTATCTTGGAAGAAGTACAGTCAGAATGCTTGTTGGAGGTAAGTTTGCTAAGAGTTTGTTTCACATACTTTGGATATGTCATCAGGAGAGATCAGTTCCTTGAAAAGAACATTATTATACTTGGTAAAGTGGAAAGGCAATGAAAGACTGGAAAGAGATAAGAGTGATACAGTGATTGTAAACATGGGCTCAAATATAACAATTGTGAGGATGAAGCAGGACCCAAGAATGCTTTGTTGTTGTATATGGGGTCACTGAGGCAGAATTGACTTGATAGCACCTAACAACAATGACAAGAACAAATAGTTACTTCCTGACTTAGGATGGGGTTCCAATCTGATTATCCTATCCTAAATCAGTCAGTTCTTCACCATAAGTTGAATATCTTTTTTTTTTTAGTTTTCTTTATTGTTGACTTTTAATTTTCAGTACCTTTATAAATCCATCTTTGAACATCTGTGAATAGCCATGTGAAAATAACATCAGCAAACTCTGTACCACAACCCTATGCAGAACTGCACATATTATGAATAAGATGCATTTTTAATGGCGCCTCCAAAAATGTTAGGCAAGTTAAAAGTCTATAAGAATGTCTTCATTTTATAATGCCAATAACCTAAATCTCAACAAAATTCAGAATTTTTATGACAAAATTATGCAAAAGAAAATAAAACAGAAAAAAAAAAGAAAATAAAATAAAACAGTTGAAGGTGCGTTTCTTCTACGTGCATTTAAATATCAAGTCTTTCAGGGTCACATATACATGGAGTGATTCTAGTTACTTTTAATAACTGGCAAACTGATGGTTCCCCTTTCTGGTAGTACCTAACTACTTGCCAGATAATGTGCATTTCATATTTAGTTTATCTTCTCACATTGTTTTCTAATTGTCTCTTCTGCTAGTACAGTGGTTCTCAACCTGTGGATCATGACCCCTTTGGGGGTCGAACGACCCTTTCACAGGGGTTGCCTAAGACCATCAGAAAACACATATTTCCGATGGTCTTAGGAATGGAGACACGGCTCCTCTGTCTCCAGATGGGTCCACCCACATGCAGATACGCCCACACATCAGTACCTGGCATGAAGACTGTTACCCATGCTACATCATGCTTCCACACAAAATTTCAGTTATTTTCCTTAGAAATAAATATTTCACAATGTATAATTGCATATTGTTTTTGTGATGAATCACTATGCTTTATGTTCAATTCGTAACATTGAAAATACATCCTGCATATCAGATATTTACATTACGATTCATAACAGTAGCAAAATTACAGCTATGAGGTAGCAACGAAAATAACTGTATGGTTGGGGGTCACTACAACATAAGGAACTGTATGAAAGGGTCGAGGCATCTGGAAGGTTGAAAACCACTGTTCTAGTAAGATGCTGAGGTAGGTAAAGTATCATGCTCTTCTATAAATCTTGAAGTGCTAAATATTTTACAATTATTAAAATGTGTGTTGAATTTACTTAAACAAAACCAATCAAAAAAATCAAAGCCACCAGGAAATGGTTAACAAGTGCTGCTTTTATTGTTAAATATGTAATAAAAATAATTAAGTGAGGAGATGACCAAGGCTGCCTCTTTAAAATCACCAACCTAAAGATTTTTTTAAAATCACATTGTTCTTCAGGGTTGGATTCAACTGTGAAATTTAAGTTAGCCTCTTTAAAAACAAATAATAGGACATACACCATACCAAACAAAAGGGAAAGGTACAATAAAAGCAACAAAAAGTTGTTTTAATGGGGAAGAAAGAGCAAAACATTGAAAGTGTGGGAGAACAGAAACACCCCAAATAATTCATTCAACATTATATACTGCCTACAAAAGCCAGGTACTGTTTTAGACACTGGGGGGGCTTCTGTCCTAGTGGAGGGAAAAATAAAGCAGACAGATAAGTTATATCGAGTGCAATCGATATAAGGATAAAAAGATTGACAGAGAAGCCACACGGGGGAACTTTTTTTTCTTAAGGAAAAAGTAAGTAGGAAAATTGTTATATGTGAGAAGAGCTTTCCAGACGGCGAGGGACAAAATCCTGAGGCTAGAATGTGCTTGACGCGAGGCCACCTGGGGCAGCAAAGTGGAAAGGACGGAGCACGACGACTCGGGCTCGCCGCGGCTGCCCCACCCCGGGTCGGGCCGCCAGTTCTCCGAGGCTGACTCCTGGCACGCTGCGAGGAGGGGGCAACAAAAGGCAGTTTTCTAGAAAAGACAAAAGGCCCGAGGGCACAGTACATGGCCCATCGGCAACCAGCCGGAGAAGCCCCCTGCGTTCCCCCAGCTCTGAGACGCTTGTTACCTCACCGTCTGGGGCCCGCAGTTCCGGTCTGAAGAGCAGCTCCTCACGCCTGCGGTCCTTCAGCAAAACTTCCGGTTCTGAACGGAAGTACTCTGGGAACACAGGAACTCCCGCCTCTCCAGCGTACAGGATGCGGGCCTTAACAATGAACCCAGTCAGTCATTTTTGCTGCCCTGGAAAGTTTCTCTAAATGTGAAACCCTGTTCATCTTTAGCACTCAGCTTAATACAGGCTACTTTTTTTTAATTTTAATCATTTTATTAGAGGCTCATACAACTTTTATCACAATCCATACATACATCAATTGTGTAAAGCACAATTGTACATTCATTGTCCTCATCATTCTCAAAACATTTGCTCTCCACTTAAGCCCCTGACATGAGCTCCTCATTTTTCCCCCTCCCTCGGCGCTCCCCCCTCTCTTATGAACCCTTGATAATTTATGTTATTATTTTGTCATATCTTACAGTGTAAAAGCTACTTTTCAATGCCTCCTTGGTCATGTTAAAGCTTTTTAATTTTCATTGATAATAATAGCATAGTGTTGTGTGCTTTAACAATGTACAAAGTCATTTGATCCTAACAATACACCAATGAGATAGTTACTAATTTTTAACAAGTGAGAAAACGGATATTTAGAAATTGTTTTAACTAACTTTTTTTCCTCTTGCTTTTTTAAAGATCTTTTTTAGGCCTACCTGTATAAGATATGCATGGGAAGCAAGCTGTAGGAGAAAGCAACAGGACTTGGGGGGAGGAGGAGGTGGGGTAAGGAGTGGGGAAAGCAAACACCACCAGAGACAGAGGAACAACTAGGAAATTAAAATCAACAATGAGGGGGACAGAGAAAGCCAACAGCAATCTAGCTGAGAGGAAATACTTAGAGGCAGAAGAAGGGTGAGGGTGATGGTAGGGCAAGAAGAAGGTAAAAGGAAAAAAGGAAATATCTACAAAGCAAAACCACAGATAGAGGTGTAACCATACATTAATCCATAATTATAAAGGTATTGGCCTATGTACATATATTAAAATGACAATACACTGAGGTAGTGGATGGTCTTTGGGCCTCTGCTCAAGCCCTGCCTCAACGCAAGAACACTTTTAGGTGAATAATTAAAAAAAAAAATTTTATTGGAGGCTCTTACAGCTCTTATAACAATCCATATACAAATTGCATCAAGCATATTTGTGCATATGTTGCCATCATCACATAGGTGAATGCTTGCAAGACCAGAATGAAAAGAAAACAAAACCAATAAAGACAAAACGAACCAGATTATTCCATAACCTTGAAGAACTATGTAAATAGAGACAGAACTCAAATTTTGAGAAGTTAATTACCTAGTTGGACTGCTGAGAAATTCATAGAGCAGAGCCCAAACAGCTCTGCCAGCATTAAAGCTTGATCCTTGAGTCTTTGGGAGTCACTACAGGTGATACATCTTTAGCAGGGAACTGCTAAGGCAGCTGCACCCTGGTG